TCCTAGTGTGTCGATGCAGGAACTGCAAGAACATATCTTAATCAATTGTAGGATTCATCATTGTAATTAAAATTCGAAATGTATTAAAATATAACGGTATCCATATTTTATGTAAGAATGTATCTAAAATAACTGCAATTAGATTTTTGTCTATACAAATTACAATCTTTGCTCCTTGTGGTCTTCACACCCTAGTAAAAAGCTTTTTTCTCACGGCTATAGTTTTTCATTTTCTCGGCTGCCTAACTGGAAGCCTCCTCTCCCAAATCTTCAGTTAATTTGGCAGTTAGAGTCATGTCAAGAAGAGTTCACCAGTCATTAGTATACTTGTTAGAAGTGCGCTCCTCTCCAATCTTCTCTCCGGTGGTGGGAAAGAGCTATGTCTGTCTCTGTTCTCCTTAAGTAATAACAGGTTGTGAGACTTGGCGTCATTAACATTAAATAAGGGTGGGACTTCTCTGAGGTCACCAGGATGTCGACCATCTCTCTCGGAATTATTTTCATTGGTGGGATTTTTTCACAAGCTTAAACACTGGGGACTTTCATTCACATGTACTGTTAGAGGTATGTGGTGACTGTGCATATATGTGAGATCAGACTATGCAAGGATACTTTGCACAAGCTACATATTATTTAATGATGGGAATCACAAGTATCACCACATCATTGGCTCCTAGTTTTGTTTCCTTTTTTGTTAAAGCTGAGAAAAAAGAATTAAACAGATGTTGTGGGCTACACTGTGTGGAAAATACTGCGTGAGAGATTGAAGCACTGTATTTGTCTGCATTTGCTTCATACATTCCTACATGTACAGTATATACATAAACATGTCCTTCTCCCACAGTATACAGTAGTTTCACAGCGTGTTTTTGATAGAAATGCAGGAGGTTAGGGTGATTGTGAATCTACAGTATCTCTGGCCTCTCGTTTTCTCTCTGTTTGATGTGCCATACACATCAAACATGTGCTTGCGCTCACTCTGTTCTCTCTTTGTCATCAGCTCTTAATGGGCACTGCACTTTGATGTGGCTTGGTTGCTGCTATTGTCAACAACATGTCTTGATCAGTGTTGATCTGAGGGGGACATGGAAACAACCAGAGCAGACAAACAGGGAGGAGGGAAACTATTGTATCAGAAGCCTTATTTATCCAGCTGTGTCATGCAGCAGAGAGTGCAGTTGAGTCTCTCAGGTTCTGAATGTGTCATGTTTGAGAAAAAGTCAGATAGCTGCACAGTAACAAGCAGAAGGACAGAGGAAAATTAAAGGAGTGAAAGAAAATGCAAGCATGGGAAAGAGAAAGACAGTGAGAGTGACAATTTTGCAATCAAAGAGTAGTGATGATAGCCTGAGAAAGACCAAGTTGGGTTAAAGTTGTTCTTCTTGCATGCAAACAACTGTCAGAGCTGGTTTAATTTCCCAGTAGACAAACCCTTATAGGAAAATCCACATGGGAGCATTTATTTTGTTTGAAATGAATTGAGGCCCAGTCATTTAAAACCCTCATTGAATGGGGAAACTTGGCTGTCATGATATAGCATCTTAGCAATGCGCCCTTATAATTCTTACCACAGCACCCTCTGGCATGCCATCGCTTTTAGATCAAACGTACTTGAAATAATGTAGTCATCTTATCCTTCCAAGATATGATAAAAGGAAGTCTGTTTTTGAGGAGAACAGAAGAAGAGCACATCTCTTTGATGGACCAAAGCACCAGTCATAAAGCTTATCTCACACACACAGATGCACGCGCGCACACACACACACACACACACACAGGCCAGCAGTCTTGCTGGGCCCTGACCGTAGCACATTGATGTCTAAGGCTGCTTTCTCCTGACTGACTCTGAGGTTATTGCAGCACACCATGGAAGCACAGGATATTTGACGGTTCCCTGCCAAAGAAAGAGCCAAGGGGGTGGGGGATGAGGGAGAGTTGCCATTGACAACTCGGAGATCTCCAAAGTGACCATCTGAAAATGTAAAAGGAGAAAACCTATTAAGAGAGAAGGGTCCAGGGGAGGCCATGGGGCTAAATCTGTCACAGCTTTTCAAGAGTGGGCCAAGGCCAATTCATGACTCCAGCAATTACAGCTTCTACATGACTTCTAAAGTTGACCTAATGAAGAATAGCGAGTCTGTTGAGAAGAGCTAGGAGTTGGGGTTTAATCCGTAGAAGACAATAAACACACACACAACCATCCTTCCCAATACAAAATTAATCATACAGTGCAGGACAATGGAACATTTATTGAAGTCGTTGTGGGTGAGATCTGAGCTTTGCTGACTCAAGAGTCCCCAGGATACACTGTGTGTCAAATCTTCTCTATAGACGTAAAATAAACATGAAGAAGAGAAAAGAGAGAGGGAGGCAGAAGGAGATGATTAGGAAGCAGAGTCAGAGTTGACAAGTGTTTGAAGGGCAGCATCAGCAGAGAGATGTGGAAATTACATTCCTTCAGTTTCTGTGTGCCAAATGTTTAATGGAGTGGTGTTGTACCATGTTATTCTTTTATCGCTTTTACCCAATGAACATGTGTGCACATTTGTGTCAAATGCAGGAAACGGGAGGAGGGCAAGGAGGGAGCGGGGTACAGTTATACAATGATCAGAACTGCACATGTTTTTTGTTTCCTACATGTGTTTTCTTTCCCAATTATGCCTGAACCTCCGAGTCACACAGAAAAGAGTAGATGAAAAAAAGAACACATCCTTCTCGTCATTGAAGATGGAGAGCAAGGAGGTGGGGTGTTGACTTTTTTTTCCAAAATAGGGCCTCATGCTCTTTATGTTTGGTATTGTCTGTGTGCATTTCCTCCTATAGCTTGGGCAGGCCTTGCATGGAGGCCAGGGAAAAAGACAGAATCCTTTGATGTTCACGTTTTATGGTCCCATGTCAACGCATTGTCTGTTAAGTCCTTTTGTTGTCTCCCTGCCTAATTAAGACCTCAGAGCGACTTGTTGACTCCACAAAGACCCTTGTTTGGGGAGTTTTTGTGTGTCAAGTGTGTGTGCGTGCATGCATGTGGGTGCGGCTGCTTTGATTGGGGCGTAGTTTGAGAGAAATGTTCAAAGCAGCACACAGACTCAAATGCATTACCCTCTTATACAAAAGCATAGGTTTTGACATAAGAATTAAGTCATTTATTTTCATTTTGAAGGCCATTTTAGTAGAGAAGAACTTATCTTCAGCTGCAGTTACACTCATAGTAACAGTAAAGAGCACGTAATACACACACACAAACATCCAGTGCATTCTCAAACTACATTTGTGCATACTATTGCATTTGGTACACATGTTTTAGGCAAGTGTTTAAAAGTGGGAATACAATGCTAACAATAATTTTAATATTAATAATTTGTTCTTGTTTTCACATTCAGCGTTGCACCTGATTGTTTTTCACATCCCCTTTTCATTTCTGCCATTCCTCTGGATCTCCCCAGCAAGAATCTAGTGACGTCAGTTTGATGTTAATCCACCATCTCAGCAGATGGCTGGCACACACACACACACACACCATCCTGTGGCTTACCAGCTTAACTTTGATGTCTCTGATACCAATAGATGACTGAAAGGTCACCTCTATCTGAGACATACTTTACATGAAATAGAAAACAGGTAGAGAATAGGCACAGAAAAGAGGAGCAGGTCCTGCTCACCCAGCCGACAGGAGCTGTTTTACTGTATATTTTCATTTAAATAAAACTACTTGTCTTTTGTGTTTTATCTCACTTTGTTTACGAATCAAGTCTGTAATAATATACCAATAAGCATAAAAACATTTTTCAACATTGTAATACATTGAAACTCTTATAGCGAACTAATGCCTGGCAGTATTAAAGGGAGCTGTGTATTGGATCATTCTATCCTTTTAGCACTTATAGAATCACCTCTGATCTTCTGACCTGTGAAACTGACCTATCCACCATGCATTGGTGATGTTTATATTTGTAGATTGGAGGCTTTAAATCCTTTCTGAGTGATCTGGAAAGTAATAAGAGCTTTGAAGTAATTAATTTATAAAGGGAAGTCAGCTCCTTGTACACACCTCAGGTCAGCGCTTTACAACTTTGAGGGGTCAAGTGGGGTCATCTGACATGCAGATGGGGTCACAAAGAACTTTATAAATACTTACCTTAAAATACTATAATATGGTCTCATTAATATATGATGTTTATGGAGCTTACTATGGCTATGGACCTCCATGCAACAGTATGACTTTCTCTAATTCACATGACTGTTTGACAACTCTTTAACTGCTGGGGTCTGTGTGTGACTGTGTCCATCTGTGCCTGCACATAGCATTTGTGTGTTTTCAATCACTCGAGCCACTGAAATCCAGTCTACATTTTCAGTCTGCTTTTTCTCATCTATTTTCACTCATAGAACACAGATTATCCAAATGTGCAGACGTCACACAAGGAATATCCAAGGACATGTTTCAGCATTTTCTGACAAATCACATAAGCACCAGTGCACAGCACACAAATGCCTCTCTGAAAAAATATAGTCAATATGGTATGCAAGTATGAGTTTGTGTGTGTTGTTTGCCTCCGGTGGTTTCTGTTTCAGTGTTTAGCTCCATACCAGTGGGTTTTCTTTTGTGTTGACACAGATGTGCTGCTTTGAGCTGAGGGACATGTGTTTTGGGACTCCTCTTAATGCAAACTGAGTCTGGTTTCCTTCTGTAGAGTGTGCGGGTTAATCTATGTTGACACATACAGTTATAGGTTAAATGTGTATGTTTGTGTACATGAATGCAAACCTGTCAATGTGTGTGTTTTCTCTCTTGTCAGGGACGCACATTGTCCATCCATCCTTGAATGCAGCAAGAGCCAATTAGACTGGGCTCTGAGCACACAGTCCTCCTTGTCTTTTGTTTTTTTCCAACTCAGCTTGTCCAAAACAAGCTATTTCACATTTTACAGCATGGTGACATCTGTAGACTTAATGATCAGTGCTTTTCTTTTAGACTAAACCAGTTTTTCTTTCTGTCACAGGTTGTCCCATGCCCAGAGGTCAGCTGTAAAAGTCCTCCGCAGAATGCAGTACTTTGTTGCCAGGAGGAAATTTCAGGTAAGCAGAAGGAAATCCTGAGGAGGAAAGACATTCTACGGAGGGTGTACAAAGATAAAGAAAGAAAAAGATTGAGGGTGAGCGAGGGAGTGAGACAAGTGTGGTGTGTGTGTGTGTGTGTGTGTGTGTGTGTGTGTGTGTGTGTGTGGGTGTGTGTTTGTGTGTGTGTGTGCGTGTGGTTATGCAGGATGTGGAGGGGGAGCGCCAAGGGCATATATCAGCTGCATCGCCGCTGTGCGCGTGTTAGGTGTGTGTACGTGTCTGTTTGTGTGTAAATGCCTGGAACTTGCACCTGCATGTCTTCTTTGTGCTCACTTCAGTTCAAGCGTAGTATCATGGGAAATCTCCTAACCTGTCTCTGGGGCTACAGTAGGAATTCACTTACTGTACTGCGCTCACAAAAACACACACATGCAAAGATACACTTACAAACAGCAGGATAGGGCCTCACTTAGCACTAAAGTCAGCAGAGTTATGGTGGCAAATTTTGTGCAAAACAATATCATGTTTGAGATACTTTGGCCATCATTTTCATGCTACATGTTATTGTAGAATGATTCCTTACCGTTTCCAAGTGTTCTACATGTTTTCAATTATAATAATTGATCTCAGCTGCAGAGGCTATACTGTAGGGTACCAAGGATACCCTAAAGAGTTCACTGGGTTCTTTCTGATGCTGCTTGTATCCACGTCACACTAAACAAAGCTGTGAAAGGACCTTAACACGATTGCTTTCTACATGACCATGCACTTGTCTGTGTGCACAAACGCACACACACACAAAACACACACAATGAGTTAACAATGAACCTTTTGCACCCAGGGGGGTTGGGGATGTTTTCGGGGACTAAGCAACAGCGGCTACGGTTGACAATGGCTTTTGTGTCCCTGTGTGTATGTGTGTGTGTGTGTGCGTGTGCGTGCACATGCATTGATCCACAGCAAGCTCGGAAGCCCTATGATGTGCGAGACGTGATCGAGCAGTATTCCCAGGGTCACCTCAACATGATGGTCCGCATCAAGGAGCTGCAGAGAAGGTGGCGTCTTTGTTTCATGCTCTTTCTGACAAGAAGTCAGAAAACAAAACATGCAATCTCATTTTATAACAAAATTGATCAACTTAAATCCTTTGTCTTCATATCATTTTTCCATTTGCACAGTATAATACACATAAGCTATGAAGTGTAACGTTGTATCATAAACATTTGTGTTTCTGTTCATCTTGCCCTTAACTAAGCTGTACTGACATCATGGTCAGCTGAGCTTGGTCAGGAAGACAACAGGAAGAGAAATGACCCATTTACTCTACATCTATTCAGCTTTCAGTAATTTTGCAACTCTTAACAGTTTCTGTTGTTGTTACTGTTGTGACTGTTCATCTGACACAGTAGGGCTCTAATTTGTTACACTATGTTGTGCTTTGTTGAGCTGTTATAAAGTCCAGTACCCACTAAAGTAAAACCTTTCATTCTCTTCCCACAAATTGCTTTTTGAAGCAACTTACTTTCTTCAAACCACCCAACACTCTCCCATGAAGGTCAGTTAGGTAAGAAAGTGGGTCAAACTTACGTAAGTGCGTCACCTCTTAACACCTTTTGCAGTAATTCAGCTGAACCCTGGTAATGCACTGTGAAATTTTGAAACCAGCAGGGCATTATAATGTATCAGTAAATCAAGAAAAGACCGGTTATTTGATTATTTAATATAATTTACAGCTAACTAAAGTGATGTAAAGCTGCAATACAAATCATAGCCAATTCCTATAAATTCTGCACAGTTTCTCATAAAAATCTAAGCTGCTGATTCTTTTTTTTTGTAACTCTAAAATAGACTAATACCAAAACTTAACATTCAACACAAAATCCAAAGAAAAAGACATCACAGCACTGGCCACATGTAACTTTTGCAAAGCACCACAATAATGCAATAACCACTTTGCAGAAAATGGGTCACAAACATAAATGAAAGATAATTAAAGACATGTGATTTTTATGATAAAATCTCACCCTTAATTCGAAGAGATGAAAAGAGAATGCTTACAGTGCATATTGAACTGTTTCCTTTACTTCAATTCATTTATAAATGACTAACAGTCCACACAAGCAAGTGAAACCTCTTGCAAGTCTGATTGTTTTTCAAAGCTTTATATTTCAATAAGAGCATAGCAATAATTTATCCATCCCTTTAACTCTTGCTTGTGTTGTTTTTTCCCCCAAATGCACTAATATAAGACTTTTGCACTGATGCCATCTGTTTAATTTTATTGGATCTATAAATTGGCTTATATTATTTTACTGTTTTGATCCTGAGTTGAAACAAAGTGCTATTTACTCAACTGAATCCCTTCTCTACCTGTCCAGTGTATTTACCTTTCTCAGGTCTAATTTCTTCTGTCTGTTCCCCAGGCTGGATGGCACACTGGGGAAGCCAGGAATGTTCCTTCCAGGTAAATACACAGCACACACAGCAGTCTACATCTGATAGACAGCTGTCACTCCTCACCCCATCACTGTGTTTATACCTCACACATCTTCAGGCTGTGCCAGACTAAATATGAGAGAAAAAGACATGTTTGTGTGTATATATCTCTGTTTGTATGTGGGTATGTTTATGTGTGCGTTTTCATATTTGTAAATATGTGAAATTGTGCACCCTGCTTGGTTTCACTGTGCATGTAGGCATGTATTAGCAGGTTCATGTGTATTTGCATGAACATGTGGGTGCACATATATTTATAATGTACATTGGTTTTGAATTTGTAGTGAAAATCAGTCATAAATTAGGAATCAATCATTTACAGCATTTAACTTCCAAATATCTAGCTAACTGTCATCATTTCCTAATTTGTATTAGATTATATTAATGAAATGAAATCAACGTGCCTGTACAAGTCAAGTTACGAATATACCAACTTAGTAACATATTTCTTTGATCTGTGTGAAAAATGGTTTAAAAAGTTAACTGCTCCTGGCCGCTGTCATAGCTACTGTGGCAACCGGAAATGACGTTGGCGTGCTATGGAAATTGGTTAACATGAACATGTCATGCTGAATGACTAAAGAGAAGAAAAACAATTCAGTACAATTATCAGGATCCGTAAAAAGTTAATTAGCGCCTAGATGATTTAAAAAAATTGAATTCACATTATTATTTCATGGTGGCTAGAATAAAGTGTACCGCAGTATGTATACATATGATTCTAAACATTCTCTACACTAGATTGCATTGCCAGCTTCCCCCACCATTACCAACCTTCTTTTCTTTCCTCCCTCCCCTTCTCCTTTGGCCCAATTCCCAGGTGCGTAGTAAACATGTCTCGGCTGACCTTGACCACTAACATGGTTAACAGTTGGCCAGTTTGACAAGGGACTGAATTAAGAAAACAGCTCTGGAGCCCTGTACTCTCAAATTTTGCATACTCTCCAAAGCCATGCCAGACTAATTTTATACATACACACATATACGTAACCAGTATGAATAAAAGCATGCACATCTGTGCAATCACCATTGTAGAGGTTTTACACCTCTGAAGGGGTATGCTAATTGCTAATGCAGATCCAAGGATATAGTAGAGGGGAAATCTGCCTAAACTTAGTTAACACAACTTTTGATCTGTCTGAAGAAGCGAATATACTCATGTTTGTAAGGTTATAGAACTCCTTCTGACATGCATTTTATTGTACACATTACAGTAGGGGACTGTAAACTGTGACCCATACCCACAAAAGCAGCAGAAATGGAATGACTTTCACTAATAATCATGAGCCTATAGGGCGCTTACCATAAAAGATAATGTGTTTTTTGCAATGTGTGCATATGCATACAATATTGATTAGAGTGTGACAAAGTGCATGTTTTTGTCTTGTGGTTACCACCAATTTCGGTTGTAAATTCTTGTTGATCAGGCAAATGTATTTATTTTAGCATTGCATGTTTGAATTAGTGGATATATGTTTGATTTTCTCCTTTTTTTCACCACAGGAAAAGGGGAAGATAAAGAATACCCAACTATTGGAGCACGACTGATCAGGCTAGAAGATAAGGTAGGCACACTTGTACTGCTATGCGTGTGTTTGTTTTGTCTTTAAGTAAGAGATAAACTGATTAGATTACCCTAGTATGTGTGTGTGACTGCACAACTGTGTGTTTGTGTGTCTGAGTGTGACTGCCTGCTTGTGTCTCAGATGAATGCTTGTGGTGGAATCTTTTGATATAACCATGTTGTGGCTGGGCTCGGTCAATCTGTGACAATGTCAAACATATACCTGCATTATCTGCTGTCCACCTTATCAGCATCTATTCAGCGCTCGGCCCTATTCTGGGCTGGGTAATTTTGATGATTTTCCATTCCAGCCCTTATTTTTTCCTGTCATCCTAGGTTGGTGACAATTCTTGGATGTTTATGTTTCCATAAGGGAATTTTAGTGTACTGGAAGCATTAGGGGCGCTAAAGAGAAAAGTGTTTATGCAGTGAAGCATAGCATATAGGCAACAGCTGTGTTATGAAGCCCACGGGTGTAACTAGGCGTGTCCTCTCTCATAGAGGAACGGGCACAAGTTGATGCTGACACTGATGCCAGTGCCAGCCAAGATAGAAGTTTCCCCTCTGCGAATGGTTGTGCCAGTTGGACTGATGAGTAAATGTGTGTTTCTGGTCTATCTGCCTCCACATCTTTCCATGTGCAAATCATAGGTTGTGAAATGTGTTTGTTTGTTTTTGTGTGTGGCTACATCTGTTGTCTGTTTGTCTGACTGGTGGCATTACTAGAAAGTGAAATTATGTGTGTGGGGATGGAAAGGTTTGGAAATGTGTTTTATTTTTTTTCTTCATGAAACTGGTGTTTTAAATTGAATATTAACCTTCTCAAAATGTCTTACAGTAAATGAAAACAGCTCCTATACAATAGAACAATGCATTCTGTTGCCACTTCTTCTTCTATTTAAGTCAGCCAGCTCAGGACTTCCCCCACTTTGCCTTCACATTTACCATCCCATCTCTGTGCCCTCATCAGCACTGATGTTCTCTGTGTTTGCATGCATTTGCTCTTGTCAGACCTCTTTGTTACGAAGAGAGGAGTAATGATCTTGAACCAATATACGCTCCGAGCCTGAAGACCTCCCTCAGTGATTGAGTTACGGCCCATTTGCTGTGGGCTACATGTTGTGATCACAATCTCCTGATTGGAAACATAAACCTGCGTTCAGAAGTGCCTCCCCTACCTGGGACTCTCTCACTGTCCCCTTTTTCTCTTTCAGTGTCTCTCTTTTTCCTCTTTCACTTCTTCTCTCTCACCAATAACTTAACATAACTTAACGCCTTAACATAAAGGCAAAATAAAAGTGCTGGACAGTGGAGCCCTACTGATGCAGGCTGCTTTCCCTCCTTAACAATGTGGAACCAATCACCGTTCCTCTAATCAGAACTCACATGCATTGCTGCAACAAGCGTCCTCTCAAAGTGGAACAAAAGAGAAGCAACAGCAGTTTGTGATACACAGAGCCGCCCATACTTCATAATTACTATTTTCCTTGCCTCAACCTCCTCCCACGTTCCCCGTCAAATCTCTGGCCGTGTGAATTTCTTGTTTTGATGGTTTCAATGGGCAACACACCTGTTGTATGGAAAAGGGGACCTCCTTTTTCCCTCAGGCAGCAGGTGGATGAACCCGTCGACCTCTGTTACTTGGTACATTCCCTGGTCCTCCTCCAGATAGGCCTATGCTGTTACGCACCAGTAGCACTACACAGATATTGTTCTCCACTCTAAATAAACTAAATATGTTAACTTTATGTTTGTGGTATGTGGTGATTGTATAATTATACTTACAATGTAATTCCCAAAATTGAATAACATTATCTTGGATGTTATTGAACACATAATTTCCTTTGTGCTCCGGATCCATTTTGACTCAAATCTTTACATTGTTGAAAGTTAGATTCAGATTTTTCGACATGTAACAAAATGCATTCATTCTGGAAACAACATTATATCATGAGACCTGTATTAATAACACCTCATCCAAACATAACTTCCAAGCTAAATAAAAGTGTGCCACAATGTGTGTAGTTTACAGGAGATGTATGATGAAAAAAGGCAATGAATCAAGTCTGTTCCAATGACTAGGGTGCCCTTGCTTTCAGTTATAAGTTGCAATTTGTTTGCAACAGAATCTCCAGCGCTATTTTGTTTGTCTCCAATCACTGCATGTATTTTATAATGTTGTGTAATTTCTGAATTGTGTCACCCCTTGCATGTTTCTCATAATAGTAAACCTAATCACACGCAAAGCAAAACCCTGGTGTCACCTCTGAATAGGATCTTTCCCAACAGCCCAGAGGTATTATTCATCAGCTCTGTGCCCTAATGTTTGTGTGTGTGGGTTTGTATGTGCATAAGAGTGTGTTCCCATGCCTTTCTCAATACTCACTCTTGGTCGGCCTCCAGCTATATCTTTTTTTTTTTTGACAAATTCCCACTTTCTACTCCCCTTTCCCCTGTAAAACACCAGACATCAACCACTCTGACTGCGTGTTATGCTGCAGCTGAGTAAGTAAGATAGAATAATTTTCTTGTCCAACTTTTGTCAGCACATCGCTTGTAGATGAATTTATCTTCAGTGGGCTGAAGGGTGCTCAGGCATTGTGTGTGCTGTACAGGGTTGGACAGTGATTTATCGCACACAGACAAAGACACACATAGGTCTACACACAAATACACTCACACACACATGAGCATGAGTTGATTAATCACCAATGTGTCTAACCCCACACTCTCAAGATTGAATTCTCCGGGAGCCACTTGGAAACGAAGATGGATGGCACTCTGTGACAGTGTGTTATCTTTCTGTCAGACACACTCGATGAAAAATACCCAAACGACAAGCTCAAATAGTGGCCAGTGTCTCTGGGCTTCAGCATGGCCTTTCAGAAAGGACCTCACTGCATGCTTAAGGATAAACTCAGCCCACTGCTTGTGGTAAATCTCTCCTAGTTTTATAGGAACAGGATTTTTTCTCATAGCAATAGACATAAAGGGCAGGGAAATTACAACAATATGCTTTCACATAGCCTGTAAATGTCTGTCTGAAAAACAATCGTGTGCTTTTTTTGTCTGATCCTATTTTGTTTCAGAAATTTAACAATATTGTGAAGTGTTGTGGAGGCCAGAGCAACCCTGCAACTTAAATCTGAAATTAGTGTGTAGAGCTGAAGGCAGCAGCCTTTAATTATGTAGGAAGAAAAATTAGTTTTGTTCAAGGTTGAAAGTTTATCACAAGGCTGAAAAAATATTAGTCCACACCAAAATATGTTTTTGAAAATGGAAGGAATTTTGCAAATACCTGATATCAAGACTGCAAATACATACTTAAAAAAAAAAAAAATCAGTTATTTACTCAAATTTATAAAGTAACAGAATCTCTAACTTCAAATTAAGGATTGGTTTCACAGTTTTTTCCCTAAATCACTCAATGTCAAAATCTTTAATTTGCTGATGCTGGCATTATAATTTTACTAATCTAGACTTAACATTATATAAAATATTAAAAAGTATATATATATATATATATATATATATATATATATATATATATATATATATATATATGGAGAGAGAGAGAGAGAGTTAAAAATAAGTATGTTGTGAGATATGAGTTCACTTTAAAAATATTTTAGTCAGTTAAAGAAAAAGCATACCAATCAGCAGAAACTGCATTGGTCGTTGGTGTGTGTAAAATCATCAGGTGTGTCTAGTGAAGAAAATACCCTCTAATGTACCCTCCAGACCTGCAAAGACATGTCTCTGCTCAACACATCATTATTTGTGTTACTCTAAGTGCACTACATGGACCATAGATCACATTCACTCTATGGTTAACTTCACTCTGCTGTATTAGGGCAAATATACTGTGCCACATATGTCACGCTTATATCATGTGCATTAGCACTAGGCGTACGCACAAGAATGCATACCCTGACCGTAATAGCATCTCAATTAGGTAGGTATGCTGTAAATTACAGCAAGGCCAAATACTGGGAATACTGGAGGGCCAAGACAGAGTGTTGTGTTTGTTAGGAGTCCATCTGTAAGGCATTTAGGGCCCCTCGTCTTTAAAAGCATGGCTTTGAGGGGGGCGTGTGTGTGTGTGTGTGTGTTTAGACTGGTCCGATCCAGACCCAGTGGAGGGCTTTAGAGATGAGGGTTTGGTAAACACATACGCACGTACTGTATATACATATTTATACGTTTGACCATATACAAAAATACAAGTGGATATCCAGGCACACACATGAATATACAAATGCAGACACACACACACACACACACACTGTTGTCCAACCAGCAGTGTCTCAGCTCAGCACTCAGCAGGGCAACAGCAAACAGGGACAGCTTCATTATCTCTTCAGCTGGTGCAGGAGGGTACTGAGACTGAACGGCTGGAGGAGAGTTCAGAGGAGGAGCAGCCTTAAATCCATTAATGATTTGCAGTGTGTGCATCAATAAATCTATTGCATCCAATCATGTTTTCCTCAATTTTGAATATTGGCACTGAGAACCAGTTAATCCCACATCAACAGGGACTAAGACTGTAATCCTTTTTAGTGCATAGGGTATTCTCTGAGGCTGAAGTAATGCATAGGAATGAAAGACTAGAGAAATATTTGTACTTGACTCAAACCAAGTAATACTGTAATAAGCTGAACAGAATGTTACAGACCACATACAAAGATATAAAAGTTTTTTAAAGAGATTTCTAAAATTATTGTAACTTGAAAGATGCTTCCAAGTTCAATGGGGTTTCCAATGTTCTTATGTCATGCTCAACTGAATTTTAGGGAGTTTTAAGTTCACTGGAAATATTCAGAGGATTTGAAGCTACAGTTGGTATCTTTAAGCTTTTTTGGATAATAAAATAAAATAAAAGCTTGTCTGTAAATACAATTCTGCACAGCACAATTAAGGCTGCCTAAAGTGACTGGTTTGTAATTGCTGCATAAAAAGGAAGACAAAAAAAACAACATTAGGAAGGGCTCTTTTTTGTGT